TGCTATAGGGGTTGCCACATTCAAACCTACCCTACCCTCAGCTTTGACTAGTAACATATTGATTTCTGTACACCAGTCGATGAAGCAGTATCTAAAGATTTAGAAAAATATATATTTCATTGAGCGGTTTCGATTAGCTGAGGAGATATAGCTATTTTATTAAGGCTATCTCAACTAGGGCAGTATCACTCATTGATTAATCACACTTTGATGGCTATAGATCAATGAACACCTTATTTTAGTAATATCGAAGTTGCAATCTTCAGGACCACCGTCTTCTCAGGTTTTCCCACTAACACCTGAATTTCTTTACACCATTCGATCCAGCGAAACGTGTAAATTCAAAGAAACATAATTTTGTTGAGCAATTACTCTTACAATTATTTGATGAGGTTTAGTAATTTGAATAATGTTATAGAGTTTTCCACGTTCAAGCGTACCGTGGTCTCAACTTTGATCATTAATAAATACTCCAATCATTCCGTAATGCGTCATTCTTAAAAACGTCATTTTCATTGATATATCATTGCTATGAAACTAGATGATTCGATGGTTCAATCGCGCGTTGATGTGTATTTGTGCATGTTCTTAGCTGACTCCGCCTTTTCTCTCCACGCGTTTTTTGGTGAAGTGTGATGGTGCGCTGGGCAGAATATATACGAATTGTTGTTCATTGTTAGATATTGTGTACGATCTTAAAATACCTTGTTTATTCGACACTTTCTTTTTTGAGAATGTTGTGAATTGCATGAATTTCCGTGTATTCTGATATGAAAATTTACTAATTGATAAGCCGACGACGAATTGGTGAACGCCACAGCTGTGATGGCGTCGTTGACACCGAGTAGTTCGACATCAAATTTCACCACCGTTAAAAGCACGCAATGTCGAATTGCGGACGTAATGGATTTCTTTTTCGTTGCTCACCCGGAATCAGGCCGAAAAGAGGGCGACGAAGGCGAACGTATCATGTTTTTCCAGAGCCAAAAACCTGAAACTTTCGAGAAGCAGGTAATTGATTCGTTTGGAACTATTTGTTTGGTTCGTTTAATTAGATGCAAACGAGAGAACTGAGCTAGTTTTTCTTGTTCGATGTGATTAGTCTTTGCTGTTAGCACTCAGAAGTGTTCATTTGATGTTCTTTTGAACGTTCAAATTTTCACAGTGTTAAAATTTTGTGGAAACTCACGTTGAATGAACATTAAATTTCTATAATTTGTGACTGAAAGTAATCGCGATTTTATCATGTTACTGAAGTCTTGAAATTACAGTTGCTCGAACAAATTCCACTCATCCAGTTTCGTATAATTTATTGTTGCATATTCAGTGTGGTTTAAACTTTATGATTATTTCTAAGTATTCATTCATCGGAAAACACTTTCACAGTTGAACGTGTGAATTCAATTTGTTGTGTGCAGTGCTTTGTTGTGTACTCTGTACTGTGCATTATTTTTCAAAATTTAATGCGATTCAGATTATTCAGCAATCGTTTGAAAGTCGTTCGTTTCAGACTCAAGTGACAGGGTTTGCGGAGGCAGTTGTTAATTTTACGAATAATTTCATCGGTGATAATAATGAGCGGGATCTGGAGTATCCGCATCGATACGTGAATACCATAAAACAATTGCATGTTTATGTGCTTGTTGAATCGTCACGATTTATCGTTGGAACTGCACTGAATAAGTTGGTTTTCCTTTCTGTGACGAACTCAAGTTCGATTTTATTTTCCTTGTGACAAACACTTGAGAAATTTGTCAAATTTCCCTTGTTCGAAATGTCCATTGCTCGGGAAATGGCATACTTAATTTAACTTTTGTTTTATTTCCTTGCTATGAGACGTCGGTTTGATTTAGAGATTGAAACACAACTCAATTGTTCGATTTCCAGTTTACGCCAAGAAGCATGGTTATGCATTCATTCCCTAGAAGCATTATTTGTTAAGCTATAAAATGGTATAACATTATGTCATTTCAGGACGTTGTGTACAAATGAGGAATACACTTTGCACGCTCCAACGATTCGTTCCATTATCATTACTGCTTATAAAATGTTTCGATTGTTTTTTGGCTCATTCACGAAACTGTTGATTACTGATCGTGCACGCTTGAAAGACCGCCTTCAGTATTTCTTCTCGAGGTATTTGTCGTTGTTACGACTGAACCAGGTGCGCTTGTTTTTCGATTTTCCGTCAAGGCCTCATTTTATTCGTTCTTTTTGTTTCATATCTTGTATTTATGTAGTTAACTAAGATCTAGCTACTTGTAAGATTGGTGCGAAATATCAGTGAAGATCAATGCACACATCATAGTCAGGAAGGAATTCTATGAAATTAGTAGATTGCAATCAGTTGTGGAATGTGAGTTTCAGATGCCTCTTGTGGATTTATTTTGTGGTGTGGATTTTTTACCTCTGGATAGTGTGTGCTTCCTTCGTGTGGAAAATCTGTTGGGTCGGTTGCGAGAATCATTTCCGCAAATCTCGAAAGCGATGTTCCTCTATCAAGGAAGACTTTTATCGTATTCCGTTCCAAAAGAGGATCTCGCCGTTTTGTTCCAGTATCTGACACAAAATCTGTTGAGCATGTCGATGAAAGCTGAGCTGCAGCCAACGTATCACATTGGAAGGTATCATTTATTCAATGGAGCTTTTAGTTTGTCAATATCTAGTGTCGTAGGCCTCGTAGTGTACGGAGCCAGTGACTTTCAAACACTGGTGAGATGTGAGCCAACATCTTGACGGTTCTTCTGAACCACTTGTGGAGATCCAGCGGGTATTTCACTTTACTACTCTAGATCAATGTGTTTGAACTTCGGTTCACATTTTGAATTGTTTCAACTCATTACAGAAACCACAGACTGAAATTTTCTCTATAATAGAAATTGTCATCAACAGCCCAGTAATAGATTTATTTGTTCTATAATAGATTTTATTCGTGTATCAGATATGACAGTTTTAATCATATCATAACACTAAAAATCAGAATGTCAGCATCAGTACGCCTTAATTTAAGGTCAGACTCAGCACCGCATCATCATGGACGCTTTCTGACTGGTACAACCGACATAACTGCTGGAGCAGTGTTGGCAAACGTGAAAGATGCAAAATTACCAGTCGTCTACTTGTCATCTGAAAGCGCATCATCGAACAAGTTGATACCTTATGAACTGGTATCTGCTTTTTCGTGTTCATCGTCAGTGTCATTGATGCTTTTATTGAAAAGATATTGTAAACCATCGAGATTAAAACATCTTTTCCCTTAAACTCTCGCAAGTATTACACTTAAGTTTATGATTTCAACCTGCATTTTTTATTTCCAGTTTTCATTATTATAGTCGTATTGTGTTTTCATGTTCCGGAGTTTTGCATTCATTAGTGTGGTACGCTTCCAGCGTTGTAGAGTCGCATTGATTTAGTGCTTTGAGGTGTAATCCAGAACCAATCGCAATTCTCATTTGCAGATAGTTTATCGAGCATTAAATGCTACACTCTGCATGTTTGTTCGTAAAGATGTGAGTTCGGATTTTCTACGTGAGCTCGATTCGATGCTCGGACCCGAATTAAGTTCGTTGGCATCAACAATCGCCGATGCTTATGGCACACAGTGTAAATCGACACCGAAAGGAGATACCGACTTCCATTTCATCTACTTCAACCCATCCAGTTTGAGTCTCAAAACAAGTTTCTTGGAACCAGTCGGTGAAATCAGCAAAACGTCTTCGTTACCTCCAATTCCACCCAATATCTGCATGTAAGTATGTTCGTCTAAAATTGTTTGAATTTCTTGAAAACGAACGCAAGCAATCGAATCAGTGGTTTTCTGGAAAAGTGTACTGGAAAGTCAACTTTTTTTTCAGTCGTAATAAAAGGTGAGAACGTCCACTGGTGACAGTTTTCAGTACTCCCCAGTATCTTTCCCTGTATTCCCTGTTTCGTTCAACATTGCTGTTGAAATCGAATGCGTGCATTGAAAAAGTGAAGGATTGTGAAAAATCGTGTAGTGAAATGAGCAATTTGAGGATGGTATGTGAAACGATGGATCAATATTTGAATGGGAATAATTGCGGTGAAATATCGATTAGATCTGAATCGGATTGGTGGATTGTTGGAAAGAAAATAAATGGTCGAATTCTGTTGTTGATGCTGCACAATACCTCGTTGACATGTTTGGCTGATGTACAGCAACATGTTAATAACATCATTAAACAACATTTCAATTATATTTTTGTGATATAATCAATCATTGAGGATTGAATCAATCCATTTTACATGTATATTGTAGAAAAACAATGGAATACATTCATTTAACTAGTGTGATGATGCACTCGTAAGCAGTTGTAGTATTGTGATGTTGTTGTTGTTTTGGATATGATTGTTGCATAAGCAGTCCTTGTTGATGATTCCAATGTAATAAGGTGTTAGTTTTTACGTTGCTTATAGCATCCTACTCGTTGTGTTATCGTATTTGTCATTTGTTGTTTATTTGAAATTGACCAGTGATTTATTCTCACTTTGAGCTGTATTTTTATATGGTTTTTTTGATTGCTCACATCTTTTTCACGTCATTTTCTTGATCTAATTTCATTTGTTCGTGTGTTATATTGTCAATTTTGATACTGTATCGATATGTTCATATGTTTCTCTTTAGTCAGTTTGTTGAAAATGAGCCAGGTCTTTCTGAGATATCACTAGTGCTGTAAGCAAATTACATTGTTTTATTCCAATGAGGAGGGATATTCAGTTCGAGAATAAATGTCTCTGGAACGTAAATGTTTCCTGGAATTGTAGGAGAAGACTAAATGCGCAAAAGTTGATGTTTTTTTTTAAATTCTTATTGTTAAGCACTTCGATGCTCTACCCGTATTTTTTCGTCTTCGCAATTGAAGAAGAGAGTCATCCCATTGAATATTGCTCCTCTTATCATATTCTACAGCATCTCTCTCATTCTGTGTTATGTTACTTTGACAGTGCATTTTCCAAAATCGTTTTATTTATGCAAATAAAATTACTATCTGTGCACGTGTTTCCGTTGCATAATGCTGCTCAGAGACCGTATCATTGTCAGGGATTGTGTTAGATTTCGAGCGCAATGACTGCTTCGCGAGAATGGCGGAGTGAGAATTCATGAAGATTGAAGGCGAGGATTGTAGTGCAATTTTATGCTCTCGTTGCAATTTTATGCTCTCGTGAAGAGATCTCTCTCGATGTTCGCAACTTATCGTTTTGGGTCAATATTACGGCTGTAGTTGATGTGGTCAGCATAATGACTATTAGTAGGTTAATTCATGTTGTCATTATGATGAATAGTATAATGACATTAATTATTGCTCCTGAACACAACTCTGAACAGACATTTGCTTGTTATTGTTCGACTTGCTGATACATCATATGTGAATGGTTGCAATCGTGTGCTATATGTCTCAAACACACTCGCTCAGTAATATTCAGAATATGGAACAAATCAAATATGCTCATAACCATTCAATAAGCAACTATATCTCCNCAGTCCGCACAGATGTAAATCAGCATTTCCTCTTATATTTCAGCATTAAAAACTTATACACTCATTTTTATCGGTTATCAGTGCCATTTGCAATGGTTACTTTGGTTCCGTACTGCTATTCAAGCGATCATCCTTAGCGATCGCATGTTCCCTTGTAATCCTTGATAATCGATAACAATCGTCCCTAGTCGCTCACTCTTCATGAAGCACATAATGATCGCTAGCAATCAAAGCATTCTCAAGAAACACCTTGCTTGACTTCCTTCCGTTCTTTAGCCTGTACCCACATGTACCATTGCTATTAGCTGCGAATCACTCTTATTCCTTACGTGTGCTTCGAATACGACATTGCAGTAAATTGTTATTGGTTGTTTCAGTTTTCTCGCAGCTGTATTAGTAGTGCTTTAGCGATTGCTCTCGATCTGGTGAATTACATGGATTGACATATGTGGCCTGAAAATTAAATGTTTTAATCTCGTTCAATATCGAATTTCCTCTTTCAAGTGATTGTGGTGATTGTATTGTCGTTCTTTGTTGCTTGTGCTGGAGGAAGTGTTTTAACATACGTGCTTAGATTAGTTTACTGCTTATGTTGATTCATCCCACTACTTCACCTTTTAATCCAGTCTCAGGGAGATTAACGAACCCACTAAAGAGCGCATTTTTTACACCATTCGGCTGATTCGTCCAATTAACCTCTGTGAACTGTGGAAGTGCTCGAACTACGCTAATTGATAATGCTTTTTACATGATTCCTTGCGATCAAATCCATGACATCGAAAAACTGTGTGTCATTCTTACGGAAATGTGCATGTTATTCCCATCGAAAGTGCTCCTGTTTAGCGCTGAACATTCAGAAATTTCTTGACGATTTCCCGTAAAATTCCATTAAAAGTGCCGGAATCGAACGGCATTTCGAGATTGCGAGAGCGTTTTTCACTAACTGGAAGAGTTCTCAGTAGTGGGCGAGCATTGTCATCACGGCTTCGATTGACTGTGGGCGAATGTTGTCTTGATAAACACTGAAGTGACGCGTTTTTCAACAATTTATCGCTCGCAATAAACTCAGCAAGGAATATTAATTCATGCTTAAGAGCTGGTGGAACTGCGGAGGTGGATAATATTGAACGCGTTGAAATGGCTTCAATATGAATCCATACAATTGTCCAGCAATTCCGAAGTGTTTTTGTATCAGTAACGTCATTCGTCTTGATCACTCGTCTGTTGTCGATCATTTTTTCCCATTGTGCTCTCAATCATTTTTCATGAAATTCCACTCTTAAATCTTATCAATCACGAGTACAATTTGTCGTGTTGCATTCCGTTCTTTGACAGATGCAATCGTAAAGTTTTCTTCTCATTGGCAATAAATTCCGAGGTTTGTCAGCTTAAAAAAGTTCCATTTGGATTCAAATGGAAGTTCCACATCGAACAAATAATGTCTCAATTGAGCAGTGCTTCAATTACACGTTCGCGAATTGCTCTACATTCAAGCGCTGGCGAAATCTTCATGATCATTCTTTACAATGTGATCGTTTGTGTTCTTCACAATGGTGGTTATTGTTGGTGATTGTGCTGAAATTACCGATCAGGCGGAATTGCAATGCATTCATTTGAAGCGCTTTTATTCGTTTACGGAAAAAATATGAAAGATGATAATTCAATAGCTTTACTCACAATGCGGACCTTGCAGTGGACTGATGTGTTTTGAATGCGAATGTTGAAATTTTCGAAATAAATTCAATAAAATGTGCGATCTGCTCCGCTTTTTCGTTGGATTCATCAAAACATTCAACAACTGTGTTCGGTGCAACCTCTTTAGCAGTGCATTATAAAGAGCCACATACGCATCAAATTGTGGACTACCCAAATCGTCATTCGATTTTTTCGCTCATTCATTCAACCCATCCTTTTTTAAGCATGCTAAAACTTTCTTCTTCCAAACATTTTCCGTTAGCTGCAATGAATTGAGTGCGCTCAACAGTTACCGAAGAATTTTTCATTGCGCTGTTTGCGTATTATTCATCAAAT